GAGGCAAAAATTGCCCCCTAAATGCATTTCTACATCTTCTTCACCAGCTTCTGGGTTTAATTAGTCATACATTTGAACATTCAGCCAGTCAGAACAATAAGGAGACTGGCGAAACAGGGGCTGGATTGTTCAGTTTGGGGGCCCTTGCAGATATCTGAGCACTGCTGGCAAACCAGGCTTCATTTTGGTCTTCTTCGTTCACCAACAGGCCGCGATGTGCTGTTGGTACAACGCTGATTCTACACTTCCACACAACTCCAAATCCCTATGTCTCACGGGATACCGAAAGAGCACTCTTAAAAAGGGATGCGGATCGTGTCTTTTTACAGTACCCAATGTCAACATCCCTTATTATAACTGGCAAGTATTTTGTGCTATTGGATTCAGTCTGATTTTTTCCTCCCAGTTACTACACCCCATTGGGCACTATTTGCAACATTTCTGTATTTCTGTTTTAAAAAACATTGTTTGTAAGTCAGAAAGGCATCAGTAAAATAATCACCATATATCTTACGTACTGTAGCATAATTTACTGTATGTCCATATATTATTATACAGCATTGTGTTCTTTTCAGCTGGAATTGTGAACACGATGAGGTCAAGGACCCTCTCTGTAGACTAAGCTGCATCTGATGCTTCAGACTGAACCGTGTTTCGAAAAATCATTCACTCACCATGTTACAACGATTTAACACACTGCCACAAGCAGCAGATCATATTTTCAGGCACTACAAACGTCACATCACTGTGACTGTTACCTGTCCCCAGGCAATTGCAAAGAAAGGTGGATATCTGTAACAGAGGAAGCACTTGTACAGCTCTGGTGTATTATACACCCGCCCTCCTGCCTCTTCACTTTTGAGAGCCCCTAGGGACTATGAGGAAAGACAGATCTATATAATACTCACAATGCACATGTTTGTCACCTACTGGAGGTGGTTCGATTGGAGTGTCCTAGCAGTTGAAACCTGGAATATAATATACTGTAGATAACATGTGCATTGCACTGTAAAATACAGCACCTGTGACTAAATAGTATAAGGAAACAAAATACAAAACGATCTCCATTTTATGAGTATAAAACCCACAAAAGAAGAGCATTATAAAAAAGAAACCACAAATTAAGGGATACTGACCAAAAACATCAACTACTGTAGAGCTGAAATTTAAACTTCCACTCGGACATAAGGCATATATTCCAAACCCAGATTCTAATGGTGTATTTCTATTATGTAGAAGCAAAAAGGCCCAAGACTGAAATAAACCAGTCACCGAGGCAATTCAAGCAGGATATATCGTCCCTGTTTGGAGAGTGAACCAAAGTTTTGGTTTAATGTGGGTTTATGTTTCTGAGGTTGAAAAGAAAACATTTTCGTTTTAAAAAGGAGACATTGTATGTCATTTATCAATGCAATTCTTTTGGGATTCTAGAGTTTGGACACAGGTGGCTGGTGCACAGACATCAAGCATGCTGGTCACAGTTCTTGAACAGTGCTCGAATTGGGCCAGTACTGTCCCGTTGAGTCCTGGTACTTTATAATGATTCATTGAACAAAATAAATTCTCTTTTAATCTCTGCCTCTTACGATTCCAATCCTTTTAGATTCCAAAAACACCTGATTACAATCCAGAATACTGAACACCGTACCATGGGCAGTGCCAGATTTCTCATTGGGCACTGTAGGCACAGTGCCTAGGGTCTACGACATTTTTAGGGTCTACGAAGGAGGGAAACACTAGTGAATAATGAAGAACGAGCTGAAACAAGATGCTTGCGATCGACTCTAGGTGCTCCAAATCAATAACCACACGCTCTCTAGAAACTAGGAGTATCGAAGTGACTGTCTCTCGACTCGCTCCATCAATCACGTGGTTTAGCATTAGCATAGTTTATAATAATAATTAACAATTGCTTACACTTGTATAGCGCTTTTCTGGATTATCCACTCAAAGTGCTTTACAGGTAATGGGGATCCCCTCCACCACCACCAGTGTACAGCAGCCAGCTGGATGATGCGACGGCAGCCATAGTGCGCCAGAACGCTCCCCACACACCAGCTCTCAGTGGGGAGGAGAGCAGAGTGATGAAGCCAATTCATTTATAGTGCATCATGTAATGGACGTAATTCAATTGGCGTTTATCCCTCTTTTTGCACATTTCGGAGTGAAAGTGCCTAGGGCCTACGAACACCGAAATCCAGCCCTGAACACGGGCGTGCTTTTTGATCCTGTATGTTAGCACTTTGAGTTCATATAATCAAAATGATGCCCAGGCTCGTTTTTATCCAATTATTCTGATGTTCCTGAAGCACATCTTGAGCCATTCTCTGACTGAGTACCCTACCTGGGATCAGTCAATAAGGATCAACCCATGACAAGCGAGACAAACGTCTATCCATCCAGTACGTAGCCAAAGACAGATCTTCTAGTTATTGTTTTCCCCAGTGTTAAATGGGTGTTTCCACCGCCTATTTTAAAAACATTCAGCTTGTTTTTAGATAAGGAGATAAGGGGAAGGGGGCACGAATCTCTACAACACATCAACATCCAAGGAAGGTTCCAAAACGAGCTCCGCCTGGCCTGGCTGTTAAAGACTGGGAGTGTGGTGAAGAGCTACCTACTACCTTAAACCATCAGAGCAGCCTACAGATCCCACCTCTGGGGCCACCCTGCCACCCCTTCCACGTGTGACTGGGAGGAGAAACAGGAATAGACATTTTTGGCATCTGTATGTTCTTTAAGGGGGAAGGGTGGGCGAACTTGCGCAGCGCAGCACCTGCTCGTGTTAAAGCCAGGCTCTGAATTGTAATTGCCGAGGGCGGGGTGCAGGAGCTAACGCCAAGGACAGGAACAGACTGGAGAATTCACCGCCCAGGTCCCCCCCCCACGCCACCTTAGATAATCTGAAACCTGAACCCTGTGGCTGAAGATGCGAAAACATGTCAAGATGCAGCACGGCACTGAGGAAGCACTGAGGTACTAAAACAAACGGTCCTCAGATGGTCCCGCAGAATCAATGAAGGACTGAAATGTCTCGGATTACTCAGCTGCCGGAGGTACGGCGTCTTGGAGAGAGCAGCGCAGGAGCCTTCGGGGGCTGTCGATGCCCGTGAGGAAAGCAGACGCAACCCCCGTGATCGCAAAGACACCGTCTCCGCTGGGAGCCACGGGGGGCTTTTTTAATCAAAAGGAACATCCCTGGACGACTGCCGCAGTTTTGATTCCGTACCAGAGTGCAGGGCTTGATGATAAGCCACGACATGTCACAGCAGTGACAGGTGGGGAGAGTCGCTCTGACATCGACGTTTTAGCAAATTTATTTCGGATTGCCGAGAGAGAGAGAGAGAGGAGAAAGATAGACGAAACAATCACAAATTGCGGCGAATGCTGAAATTATTTTTCAGCTAGAACAGCCCCACAGAAGTGGGGCGAGAAGCGCTTTCGTTATTGCTCTCTCGACGACGGCTTGGTCACGAAGGCCTTGAATTACTGACACCGATACCCCCCGAAGGATGGCAATGGGGGGGTCTGTGAGGTCTGATCCCCCCCTGATCAGACCTCACAGATCTGACCTACTGTACGTGCTCGTTCGGGAACGCTTTCGCAGGACTCTCCAGACGCTTTTGAAGGGCTATCAAATGGCTTTTAAAATGGTTTTCTTTTCTTTTTAAAGAGAAAAACCTCAAATTGATGCAAAAAGGTCAACCGGGTCAACCTTCCACCCCAGAAGCGTAACACTAAAATCAGCCTCAAGCACCTTGGCATTAAACTAATGGAAATGAGTTAAACAGCATTATATAGCATTTTCAATTACAAAGCAGCCACCAGAAAAACTTCACACATTAGGTCAACTGGGCTGCCTTGGAGGAGTACAGAGCCGAATTTCTGGTGTGAAGGGTTTAGGTCCTGAATTCTGCTATGCAATGGGTGCAAAACTGAATAACACAACTCCTATTGATAGAAACAAGAAAAAACGTCTCAGGGTTGTGAAAAACAATTATGATTTGGCCAGGAAATCATACATGTCACATTCTGGCCACCATTTCAACCTTAACATTTAAAGCAACCAGCAGAGCAAGCATTAAGGGAGATCTATCAGGGAGAAGGCTTCTATCCTGACTAATGGCACAGAATTAAGAACTTACTGACACCCCGGATAGATGGAGAATTCTAGTACAATCATAAACTAAAGGTATTATCTAATGTATTAGACAGTATGTCACACACCACAGTAAACACTGTAAACATAAATCACTACAGGTGTGCATTTGCTGTATGTGTGAAACTGGGTGGAGAGCACACTTCTAACTAAAATAACACCGCATGTCCTGTTTACACCTTATTTATCATAGATTTGTGATGGTTATAGGCAGTATTCAATTCCTGTGCGTTTACAAAACAGCTATTATGCATCTAATATCGGCTTAAATCTTCACACATTTATACATTACAGTCTATAATGTTCAGAATGCTTTGGATATCATAAAAAGGTTATCTGCACCACCTTTGTAATAAAAATGTAATTGCAACCAGCCCGCGGTTCCTTGCAGGTACGTCATTACCGTTAGCGCGGCAGCGTTTTCTAAGACGCTCATCTGGAACAGAAGTGTGATCAGGTCTGTGCAGAGCAGGGCTCGGAGGAGGCTGAGCTCCACAGGTTATACATTTTATCTCGGATCTTCCCAGCAGTGCGGCGGGCGCTGTGCGTTACTGCGTGTGTGTTTGTGTGTGTGTGTGTGCGGAGAGGGGGTGTATTAGGAAAGGGGCTCAGCAAGACTCGGTGAGCAAAATGGGAGAAAACTTCAAAACGACCTCTTTCGACACGAAGCAACAAATGGAGCACACATGCGCGCCCAACTACAGCGACCAGGGTGGGCACGAGTTCGTTTCGATGTTTGTGCATGCCCCCAAAACAAACAAACAAACAAACAAACAAACAAACTGGCTCATTAGAGAATAAAACAACAAATAAAACAAAAAAATCGAAAAAGCCTCCATACCTTCAAGACAGCAGGTTCTCCACAGTCCAGAGTGGGTCATGACTTCTTCGTTCTTCCTGCTGGTCTCGTTGTCGTTGGCGGATTTAGTCCTGCACACGCCTCTGGAATACAACCAGTAGTCCGTCCCGACCGCGATGGTCATCAGGCTGAATGCGGCGAAAGCCCCCACGGTGGTGATTAACATCTGGACGCCTCTGTCACACATCCTCATTGTGCTTCATGGCAGGGTGGAAACGCACGCAGCCAAGGCGATTCACAGGGTGCCCGGCCCGCCTGCCTCGCCGCCTCTCGGCTGGAGATTCCTGGCGACTTCAGCTCGCATTAACATGATCTTCAACTTTCTGGTGTTGGTGGGTTTGTTTTGGGTTTTTTTTGTTTTTTACCGCGATGTTGTGCTCTTAATACCGCCGCGGACAGCCCGGGTGCCTCGTCTTCCACCTGCCCCCGCAGACTTCACCGTGTTCGCGCCGCACATGCCCGGCCAGACCCGGGGACAGCCGCCTGTGTCGGAGCCGGAGAAGGGAGATGTCAAGTACGGGCAGGAAAATGAAAAAAAAAAAAAAAAAAAAGATGCGCGTTTTCTCATCGACCGGCTGAGAAGCTGTGACAGACCCTGCAATTACCGACAAGAACCTAAGTACCTACCATTGACGAGGAGGAAAAGGAAATCCCTGCAGCGCGCTTCGTTTTTCGTCGTTTTCCCTTAATTTCAAAGCGTTTGCCTTTCGATCTATTATTTTTCGCCGGCGAACGGGACTGAAGGGGCTTGCTACTTAGACACGCGATTCCCGATGTGCGCGGCGATGAACAGAGGCGGCATAACGGAATGCATTAAAACCGGCTGCAGTTAACAAACCACTACATTTCACTGAATACCTGCTAGACGATCTTTACGTTTCCTCCCATTTACAGCGGCAGCGCGTTTTCCCGCTAGAGAATACAGGAGAGTATCTGAAATTTGAGAAAAATCCGACTTGGAGGAGTTGCAGTCTGCCGTTGAAATCGCCTTCTCTCGCACGGATTTTGAATGCAAAAAAAAAAAAAGGCAAATATAAAAGCAGCTGGCGAGAAGGCTCGTAACTTCAAGCAAACGTTGCTATTAGCAGCATTGTGAACAGTTGCAAGTCGCAAGTAGCGGCGGCAGCGGCAGGAGTAGTGGTTATTCACGCTGGCGCTTGCAAATGTGCTTCTGAAATGACAGCTCCCACGTTCCTCCGAAGCTGCTTCTCTTAAACAACGCCCACAGCGCGGCCGGAGGGAGAGCCGAGCGCTCCGCCTGTTGCGACTGGAACGCGCAGGCTGCTGTCCGCGGTGCTGAATGGCTTCGGCCGCCCCGAATCTCCGGATGCGCAGCTCGACGCCGCCCGCACAGCGCCTCTGGCCGCTCCGATGGGCTACTTAGGCCTTCATTATGCAAAAATATTGACAAGCGATGCATAAAGAATCGGACCCCGGAGATGGAAAAAAAAAAGACGGCACACTTAAAGAGCTACCGACTCACTTCGCCCGCCCCCGTTTCGTTTCTTGGGAATCTCACGCACACTAACTCGGAATCGTGTTGGGTGTTAGCAGACAGGATTCCATGAGACTCCCTTTGCAAATACGCGGGACGTGGAGGATACGCCGCTGAAAACATGGTTATCGTCGGTGCCAGCGCTTTAGCGATTCATTTAGCGGTTCCATGGCGCAAAGGCTGACATCTCGAAGCTGTGCGAGAGCTTGTCATTAATGCAGTCTTAAAGTCAATGAGGTCATGGAATTTCCTTACTGGTGCCTAAGGGGAGGGGCGCGCACATTGTAAAGAAATGCCGCTTTCAAACAAGACGTTGTAGAAAGCAACAATTCTGTTGTTTGTTTCACTGCAGAAAACCGGTCTTATTAGGTTGTCTTTCCTGCTTCCGAAGACTAAAGACACTTGTGAACATTTTTCCGCAACTGCAGATCATACTTACGTGTACACCCATGCTTTTTTTGGCCGTGGGTCTATTCTATTTGTCATTCAGGTCCCGTCTAAAAAGAACAAGCAGTGACAGTTGAATGTCTGGATGTCCGCTGTGGAAGCGTTTCTGGTGCTCAGGTCCCTTTCATCAGTATGACAGATGTGTTGATCAAACCATGCCCAGGCTCACCTCAGGACCACTCCACTGATCTGACTGAGCAGTACCCTAAACTGAGCAGGGCTGAGTACTGAGCACAGACAGCAAGAGGGTTTGCAGTGAACACCAGCGTTCTGCGCTCGGCTCTCAACAAAGAGGATCAGACAACAGTAGTGATCACTTCCCAGAAATGCAAACCTCCCCTTTTCCCTGCCTCTCGTGACCCAGTCTTCCCCGTCCTGTTGATAGGCACGGCTGTGGATCAGAGAGACGGGGTGGGCGCTCAGATGCGTGAAAGCTAGAAAATCCTGTCGCGCTCGAATCTCGCAAGGAACAGGTTCAGCCCGGACTGGTCTCTCTCGATGCGCGGTATTAAAGCGATGTGATACTTCCAGGCCCCCGAAATTCACACCAGCCTGGAGAGCTTTGCTGAAAAGTGGTGAATAGGTGCGCGTGCTGCCCCTGTTATGTGACATGCATTTAGTGAGCATATTCACTGGGGGAACTGCTGTGTGAACAAAGCGCTCCATTGTGAGCCTCCTATTAAGAAACCCTGAACTTGGGGACGCTAGAATTTTCCCTAGAGAGCCACTCCATTGCATTGCTGTGCAACATGCATGGCATGTGTTGACAGTCCCTTTGACTGGCTTCTGGGCAGCAAGAATTCAGGAGATGAAATAACCTCCATATTTCAAGTATTGGAGAAACCCTCATCATATCCAAATCACAGACAGACAAACCCTGTCTGAACTGGCCACTGTAAAGAAAGCTCTACTTTCTCTAGAGTTTGTGCAGTGTGAGAACCCAGTGGCTTTGATTAACTACATTATGTATGGCATAGTGCCTTATCATTTACATGCTCAGCTGAGAATGTGAAACCCCATAAAAAAGACAAATTTAATTTAGCAGCAGGGTAGCAATAAAATCATCAAACATAGGAGAGGAAAGAATGAGTGCCTTTGACGCGCTATAATGTACATCGCCTCATTTTAATTTTCAATGACGTCCAAGAAAATGTCTCCATATGCGTCAGAGAAAAAGGAGGTTTTAATCATTCCAAAAGCTAATTAAGGCACAATCTATACAAAACAAACCAGCAAACATTTTTTTTTTCCTCTATGGCCTCAGAGCCCAGAGACATCTGCTTCCTGATGTGTCTTTGTCTTCCGTTTGAATTTTCCCACAATAATTTGTTCACACCAATTTGTTCTGCTTTTAAAAAAGAATGCAATTGGGGGGAGGAGGAGGAAAAAAGCCGAAAAACCAAATGCAAGTCGTCCTTCACACAGTTTCGTGCTAAAACAAAATGTGAACCTTAATATCAATTTTAGGAAGGATACTACAAGCACAGATGTATACTTAAGTTCATTAAAACTAGAAAGGAGTTCAATGCACGCTTGAAATTAAGATCATCTGAAGGTCATAAGGGCTACATAGTGGTGCAGTGATTAGCATTGCTGCCTAGCTGTGCTGGAGCCCTGGGTTCAACTCCAGCCCTGGGGTGTCTGGATCGTCATCCCTCCTCTTAAGGGCGCTCCGGCCCTTTTGTATTTTAGTTGATTTCGTGCACCTGCCCCCTGTTTTGTCTCTCCTTATTCAAGCCTGGTGCTCTCGCTATTCCTGGCTCAGTATTGGGAGATGGACGCCTGGAAGCCCGGCTGCCAGCGGGTCCAGGAGAGACCCGAGGGCACAGGCTTCATCACGGCGTCCCGACCGTCTGAGTCTGGGGCTCGGAGCGCCTGGGCTGGTTTTATCCCCTGTCCCCGTTCCGGAACCCCTTCCGGGTTTTTAACTGTGTTTGTCTTGTCTTTGATGGATTCCCCGGTTTCGGACTTTGGACTGCGCCCCGGATTCCCCCTTTTTGACTGCCTGGATCCGTTTCCCATCACCAAACCCCCCCGAGCACCGGATCACCGTCGACACGCCCCCCCTGTCTGTCTACCTGTCAAATCCTGCTGTACCTTCCCCGGATGTCCTTCTCCACTTCTGTATTTTCCCGTCTGCACAGGGTCCTGAACTACACTTCGCGGAAGCCTGGACTGGCTCCTGTTACATGGGGTGCTTTCTGTGTGGAGTTAGTACTGTATGTTTTCTCCAAGTGCTCTCGTTTCCTCTCACAAATTAAAGACCTATTGGTAGGTTAAGTGTCTTCTGGGAAAAATTAACTTGGTGTGAGTGTGTGTGTGTCTGTGTGTGTCCTGCGATGGACTGGTGTCTGTCCTGGGTGTACCCTGCCTTGTGTCTCTTGCCTGCAGAGATAGCTCCCATGTTTCATCCCTGAATTGGATGAAATGGCTAGCAAACGGATGTATGAAGTTCATAAATGCCTTCATGTAAAAGCTCGATTTAATAAATGACTCAAGAAATAGCCTAGCTTTGTTAAATCACTGCAATTTTTCAAAGGCATTAAAAGTTTAATCATTCGAATCCCCTGTAGCTCAGTGTAACTGTCACTTTAGAGCCATTGTTCCACTGGAGATGAGAGAAAACTAATAAATGACAGATCACAAGCAAAGCACTTCCATCATTAACAATTTTGCAGAACATCCTGCTTTCATACCAAATTTCCATCACGGTTTACATACTATTTAAAAAAAATCAGACAAACACTACAGTTTCTACACTGGCAAGACAACTAATTCACTTAGCTATATAATAAAGCCAAGAAAACATAAAAAAAACATTATTTTTGTCCAAATTCATCTTTTGAGCAGAAAACATGATCCGCCAGAAACATAGATAAAACAGAAACAATGAAACCAGAACATATTTTCATAACAAAAATGTCCAAATATAATTGAGCGTGATAAAATCATTGGCTTTTATCTCATAGTAATATTAATTTAGTCTTATGCTTACTGTGAACATCCACTGTCTATCCTGGGAGTGTGGTTTTCTAAGCCCCTTTGTCTTTTTAAAAAGTAAAAGAAAAGAGGTCAGTTCTAGGAGACTGAGTGCTTATTTCAGTGTTTCACAGACAAACAAGGCCTTTCAATGCTCATGGACTATTTCACAAGAAAACGCCAATACCAATTCAGCCTTAGGTCATCAGGAAAACAATTAATGTAGAATCCACTGTCTGCTCTCCTAGAGTTACTGTGGCATTTTCAACATTCTGAACTCACCCAGTGAGCCAGCTGTTCCAGGCAGCACCAAGCCTCTTTATGTGAAGTTCACACAGAGGGAAGCTCCAATTCCTCTGCAAAATGATAATTGTGCCTGTCTGTGGCCTAACGGAAAACACACAGCAGCATGTTCTAATTCCTCAGTGATCCATACAGAATTCACCAAGGACTCATTACCGCTTGAAGCTGATATAAAGGCGTTCTTTAACTGCTGGGAAAAGGAGTATGCCATTTCTTGAACAAACAATAACCATTAAGTTGCAACAACTTTGTAATGATCCATCAATTACTGCTGGTCTCAGTGCGAGTTTGTCTACTTAATAATATATAAAAATAAAGACGGCAAATTGATTTTTGTTTGCTCACAACCCTCAAATGCAATGTCTTTTTTCATAACATAAAAAGAGCTGCCTGACAAATAACCTCTCTCATCACTTTAGGCATTGCCTATAATTAACTACTGAATGCCATAAAGATTCACCTAATCTCCCGATGAAAAGATAATATGAGAGAAACATACATTCGCAGTCATGCAATAGAACAAAACGCCACAAACTGCTTTCAGTGTTATGTGCTAAACTGACACTGTCACAGCATCTTCCTTTGAATTCCCTAGAAGACCTAGCTAGGATACTTGTGACCTAATTGCTCACACATCCTTGGAGTGATGTACACACAACCGTCAGCAGTTACTGTAACTTGCGAGGAATTTCGACCACTGTTCTACATCACTGAAGACTGGAACAGGGCAGTCAGCTCATGCTGGGTTCAATTCTTGAATAATACGGTGACAAACAGGGTGGTACAAGAATTAGAGAAGTGCAGCAAATAGTGAGTGGGATCATCAACAATTGAAACAAATAATCAAATATACAAAAACATTAAAATATGCCTCAGTGTACTGTAATTATTTTCTGCTTCCTGGGATCCATGATTGACTGAACTGGAGACTGCGGCCCTGAAAACAGGCGACAGATTGCGTTAGGCCGCAGTGCGATGCTGAGCATGCACCAAATCTGGAAGAGCACAGACATCAGCCTCACAACCAGATGCAGAATGGTCCACGCTATTGTGTTCCCCATATCAATGTATGGGTGTGAAAGCTGGACCCTGAAAAAAGCTGACCGAAAGAGGATAAATGCTTTCGAGCTATGGTGCTGGAGAAGACTGTTAGGGATACCATGGACAGCAAGGGTCACCAATAAAGAGGTTCTGGAGCACATCAAGCCAGAACTTTCGCTTGAGGGAAAGATCACCAGACTCCGGCTCACTTATTTTGGTCACGTGATGCGATCAGATTCAACGGAGAAAGCAATGATGCTTGGGATGGTCAGTGGAACAAGAAGACGAGGCCGCCAAAGAACGAGCTGGCTCGACGCCATCAAAACGGACACTGGCTTAGGCACAGAACAGCTGAAAGGGAAAGTCCAAGACCGGAAAGCGTGGCGAGAGATGGCCTATAGAATCGCCGAGAGTCGGATCCGACTGACTGGATGCCATCATCATCACTGTAATTATAGGCATGAGATTTTTGTTCTCTGGGACAGCTTTAGTGAAGGAGAAGTAAGCCAGCGGCAAACTAGGAGAAACAACTCTTAATTAAAACTGCAAATGAGACGCATTAACCAACACACAACATCACTAGCATAAATCAAAAACCCTTCACAATTGACTAACAAGACGTCCCAAAGGCCTACGCCCTGACCAACCAGAAAAAACAAAACCCAGGCTGCTATCAAGTATTAAAAATCCTATATAACCCCCAACAGGCCGACAAGAGAGATAAACCTACCCCCTAAATAAAATAGAATGCAACCTACAGTTAAATTTCTCTAGCAATCCGGATGCCGCAATATGGACGAGAACCTATCCCTATTCTCAAAGAAAGCTTTCACTGTCCAGGAGAGGTTGCCTTTTAAACTAGGGGTTTCCTAAAAGCTAGATCTAAAACCAACAGAATTGGCAAGCTCTCTTAACAAGGTTCAAATACATTATATGTATTATTTGACTAAAATCTGGCCCGTAAGGTGGATCTGAACAACCTCTCCCTTTTCTCTCTCCTGTGTTCTTCCTCCTCGTCTCCTCCTCTCACTGTCTTTTCATCCCATTTTCCGGGATTGTCAATGACTCCGTCGGAAATAATGTACAGGAGGTTTACCCACAACTTAATTAACTAAGGTAAACCAAGGCGAACCTTCTGATTTCTGTGATCAAGGTGTCTCAGACCCCTCTGCAAACACCTCAGTTTCTTTCCGGTTTGAAGCTAACTACAAATGTTGACAGTAGTTAAATGTTGGCCATCCCCATCTAGCTGTAACAATACTGTATACAGCTATACTCACAGGTCTATAAGGACTTTGACATTTTAAATACAAGCGGTGCTTTTTAATCTACTTCAACTAAAGCTACTTCAGCTCTCTTCCAAGGCCCTTTTTGTGTTGTTCCACCCTCCTTGTTCTTCTTCTTCTTGCAAAGGTTCCTAAAATTGGATAGATCCGCTTAAAAGTGTTTGAAAAGGCGGTGCATAAAGAATAATGAGGCAGACAGATTGTGATGCAAATGAAAGGGATGAAAGATGACCCAGCGGAGCTCCTTCGTGAAGGTCACTCTATGTAGCGCTCCAGTCTTGGTCAATGTTTAGAGCATTAATGAGGCTGAGCTCCTCGGAAATGGCTTTGATGGATGGAGTGATGGGACTGGTGAGGAAAGCTCATTTCTTATCCCGTCTTATCCCCCCCCAAGTTCCTTCTCCGGAGCAAATCCTGATCACATTTACCTTGGTGCTCCTGACGAGACCGACACGGTCCCCCTTTAAATGAAATAAAGCAGGGTGGGAGGAGGCAGGGAGGCCTGGAATGCTTCTCACTATTGAGAAGAGAGATTATTCTACCTGTGACCGGTTCTGACTGATATCACATTTGTACATTACAGGGATTATATATGAAAAGGCAATGTGTGCAATATGTTTGGGTTAGTGTGCATAATTCCATTGAATACACTAAAATATAGAATGTGGCGAATTATGTACATCATTTCTAGAATATACCCTGATTTTATACCAGATTTATTCACAGACTTAATGCAACGCAACCTAAAGGCGACTTCAGGAAAAAATAAATGTAAGCAGATGTACGATATTGCATATCGCTAAAAACGAACAAACTTCGTTTAAGGTTTAGGAAAGGTTTAAGTTCGTGCCAAATTAAAGGCACATTTTTCAAAATAAACAATGTTTAAATGTTATTCTGCACGCAACAGCCATCAGTATTTTGTTGATGCCCGTTTAGCTTTCATAACAGAGAAAGGTGCTTTCTGTAGCTTAGTAATATGTTAAAACACCTCCCAGTAGGGGA